TTCTCCCCTACACCATATCCCCCAACACCACATCTAAACGGCTCTTAAACACATCCAGGGATGGGGACTCAACCCCCTCCCTGGGCAGCCTGTTCCAATGCCCAAGAATATAGATATATAGAATATGAATATATAGAATAGATATATAGAATATATATAGAGAGAATCATTTAGGTCGGAAAAGACCTTCAAGATCAAGTCCAACCCTTAACCCAGCACTGCCAAGTCCACCTCTAAGCCATGTCCCATGGCAAAACACCTTCCTCGCCCGCACGGATGCCATCCCTGCCATTGAAATCTCTCCGTATTAACCAGGCAAACCCTCCCCAGACCTCCCAGGCAGCCTGGGCTGAGCAGCTCTCAGTCCCCGGGGGTGCCCATCCCCTCTGCCCCGTGCCACCCCATGTCCCCCAGCCGTGCCCAGCCCATCCGTCCCCCCCTTTGCAGACACAAAGCCACCCCGAGAGCCTGGGCGGTCCGGCTGGGACCCCGGCCTCCATTAGGGAGCTATTGATATATTTAGAGGAGCTTGTAACGCGGAGGCTTTTCAGGCTGACCCTCTGCCTCCCATTCAGGCAGCAGACAATGATGAATGAGCCCCGGAGAATAGAGGCAGCCCAGCTGAGGCTGACGCTCCTGTTCTTCTTGAAAAGGTAGAAAAAGGATCCTGAAGGAGCAAGGAATAATTAAAAAATAAATGAACTGGCTTGGGCAGTGATGACAGAAGCCCTGCCTGATTTGCAAGGGCTGGGCATGCTTCACAGACCCGCGCTGCCCTTTCTATTCAAGGGAGAAGATCCTTTGGATAAAACTCCACTGCAGCAGAGAAAATGCGAGGAGCATTAAAAATGTAAAGCTAGAGAATTCTCTTTAGTCAACTGCATAACCCCAGGCCGTGTTTGTCACTGTCACAGTGATGAATTGGGAGCTGTCTGAAATCAGCATGCTCACTTTAATAATGTCACTTTCCCTGAGCCCTAAAAAATGTCTTTCTGAACCAGCTGGACAGAGTCTATTCCTTAGCCCGGCAATTACCCGTTTCCCTGGGCTTTGCCGGGCAGCGCAGCTGAAACGGGGGGTTTTGGGAGGGGAGGTGGGGCGGGGGTGCAGGTGGGGGTGCAGGCAGGGCTCAGCACAGCCTTGCTGCAGGGACAGGCTGGGGATAGCAGGTGACACTGGTGGCCACCAGACCCAGGGAAGGGATGCTCAGGCTCCAGGAACTCTCCTATCAGCTGATTTTCTTACCCTGCCCCAGCTTTACTCTTTCTGAGAAATGCCATTGAATTAACTTTTAGCTACTTGGGTGGAAAAAACAACATTAAGTTTTGCATTTTAAACCCTGAATTTCAAAGCTGCCTTTTGCCGCCAGCGCACGGAGGTTTTTTTTTTTTTTTATTTCCTGGGAAATGGGATCATTTGCAATGGAAATTGGTCCCGTATTTTTGCAGGGAACTGACTGGAATTAAATCATTTGTAATGAAATGTAGAAAAGTTCCCAGAAATTTCATTTCATTTGCCTTTCATGATAGCTAGTCCGTCCCCCTCTGCAGCCAAGATCTGCAGGAGTGAATAATGATTTTGGGATCACCAGCCTGGTTTTCTAAAATCTGCAGAATCTGCAGAAAAGTCCCCCAAGAAGCACTGGGGCCGCAGCACTGTGACTTTCTCCTGCAGGATGGCAGCCCCCACCAGGGAGGAATCCTTCTCTGGGACTTTTGGTCCTTTCTTTTCCAAGCACCAGAGATGCAGGTCCCACATCCCTGGGGCTCACTGAGGGGACACAACCCCTTAGAATCATCTAGGTTGGAAGGGACCTTTAAGATGATCAAGTCCAAGATCACCTAATCCTTCAAGATCATCTTTAAGACCTTCTAGTCCTTTAAGATCATCTAGTCCATCCCAGTCCCTTTCCCACCCTCCCTCTCCCCCTCCTCCTCACAGCCACAGGATCCATCCAATTTAGCTATTTTTCAGCCAAGCTTCCAAACCCATTATTTCCTAGAGTTGCTTTTTTTATATTTTCCCCCCACAAACCTTGGGCATCTCGCTGCTTACAACCAGACCTAAGATAAAACCAGCTTCAAAGCAGTTTCTATAATGAGCAGCAGTGCATTAGAAACCCAACAACAGAGGAGACGAGACCGGGATAAAAACTAACCTGAAAAGAAGCACCATCCCTTTAAGGAGAGATAATGAACGGAGAAGCTGTTGCTTGGCATGTTTGCAGAGAATCGCTAATTAAAACATCACTTCTGTAAAGTATGCTGATCCCATTGATTCTTCCCCCCACACAGTTAATTTGCTGCTAGGAAGGCAAAGTCGCAAGGGTCCTCATTATAAAAATTTCACTGGCTGCAGCTAATGGTTGTAATTAATAGGTGCAATAAATTTCAAATGGGCAGCCAGGGTGTTCATTAGCTGTGGGCTGACTCAGCACCGGTGGCCTCACCAGTTACTAAATAACCCATTTCCAAGCAGACGGGAGGAGGAAGGTGCTCTGTGGCACAACCGCCGCATCCGTAATTCCCTGCCGAGAGCAGAGCTGAATAAATAATTCCCGGCAAGTCCCGGATTTGTCTCTCTTTTTTTTTTTTTCTTTTTTTTTTTTTCTTCTTGTCTCGTTGGAGAATTGTCTGTCCAAGCCTCCTCCAGCTCTCGGCCAGCAAAAGCGGGGGCAGGTTTTTCTCAAAAGTGCGGCCGCAGCCAAGTGACCTGGATTTGGTGTGGGATCAGCACTCGAGGAACTGAGCTCTGTGATGCAGAGGGCAGGTAAATACCCATGGATAATGCCAGGGAGCCGGGCACGGATCATCA